TAATATCATCAGCTGAATAAACACGTTACATCAAAAGTTAGTGTCTGGAATTAAAATTATACATGCTGTTTCATCCAAGTAGAAGAAATTTATCAGGAACTTATCCTACAGATATACTTGCACCTATGTATAGAACACAAAAGGATCATTACAGAGCTGTCATTTTTTTAACTGAGGAAATCTATATTTTAATGCAAACTATAATGTACATAATCTATTGAGTAAAGGACTGTGCAGCCACGAATAAGAACAAGGGTAGATCTTTATGTACTGACATGGAACCAGCTCCAAGATTTAAATATAAAAAGCAAGATGTACAACAGTGTGCACAGTATGCTCCTACCCATGTTTAAAAAAGACATATACATACTTTACACTGAACCAAATGGAATTACCTATATTGGCATATAAAAATGGCAACTTCGATTGGTTCAACTTAATGCTTGTATGGGCATAAAATGTAGAAATACAGAAGGATCTGAAGAGAGTAATCAGGGCAGGGGCTTGAGTTGGAAGAGTTCTCAGTTTATCCTTTTGCACTCTTAACTTTTTCCAATCTGCACTTGTTAATAACTGCTTTTTAAAAAGTGGGTGCACTCCAAGGAAGGCTGAAAAATCATTTTCTTCAAAAGCAAATTCAGCAGCTTGTAAGTGAAAATAGACCACACAGGTAAGAGAGCAAAGTGAGAAATAATTCACCAAACACACGCTAAAGCTCCCCACACACACTAGGATTTTTAAAAATCTCACAGTACATACAATTGAGTTGACTTATAACTCTGGCCTCAGAGAAATTCAGATGAGAGGGGTCATTTAGACTCTACCTGCCTGCTATTAATCACAAACTGGGATCTAATTAATAAAAGGAAATATTACATGATGGGAAATTAAGTACCAAAAGGTCAAAGTAAATATCAAGTTTTAAAACTCCTTAATTTTCCAAATTCAAAAACAGCCAAGGCTAAGCTTTACCTTTCCCCAATTACATTTCCCCTTACAGTTGATCACATCCCACAAAAGATTCGATTTTTCCACGATTTCCACAAGAATGAACTGAACAGTAAGCAGGCAAATCCTAATCTCACACCTTGCATTACTATTTTAACTTTGGAAGCTATAGATGTACCTACTCTAATTCCTTTTCCTAACTGTTCCTCTGAACTGAAAATGTTGAATTACTTCCGTTACAACTACCATTCTAAAAATGCCCTTTAATTACCAAGCTGCACTTGAAAAGTGAACTTCCAGAAGACCAGAATAGGACACGTCATCCAAGCCACAGGTTCTAGGACACATGGCACACATCCCTCAGGCTGCAGGATTCAGCAGGGACAAGCTGAGACAGGAGACAGCATATTTCGACCCACCCCTCCCTCACTTCAACCCGATTCCCTGCATTCCCAAGTGCAACCTCTGCAGACGTGGAAGCGTGACACCGGTTCTGACTGGCTCCCGATCTCACCTATGTTCACCTGAAGGTGGTCTGATTTTCAAACTGTGCGACTATCTAGCATTTAAAACCACCACCACCACCACTTTGACCATTTTGGAATGAAGCATTTTCCCCACACATTCCTCACCTCAGGCTCCCCGCCAATGGTCTTCCTTATATCTCTCTCCTTTCAAGATTGGTTTTCACTTGTTTCATCACTGATGTTCAGTGATTGCTGTTTTTTTCTTTTTTTCATCTTAACATGTGCATTTTAAATTACACCATGTTGCTTTTTAGCAAATATTTCAAGTACACATAAAAGTAAACAACATTAATACAATGAACACCCAGGTACCAGCTTAGCAAGATCTTAACATTTTGCTGAGTTTGCTTCAGATCTTTTGGCAGAAGTCTGTCACACTTGACATCCCCTGTGTACCCACCCCTCCTTCCATCTGTAACTCTGTTCTCTCCTTCCCAAGAGACAGCCACTTCCCTGGTGTTTAAAGTGCCCATGCATTTAAAAACATTTTTAACACATACTAAACATGGAGATGTATATCATTTTGCACGTTTTTAAGCATTATACAAAAGGTATTAGACCATACAAATCATTCTGCAACTTGCGTTTTCACTCAACATTGCATTCATTTACCAAATGCATAGGATTCCATTGTATGAATATACCATATACCAAAACTGATTTATCCATTCCCCTACTGATGGACATTTAGGTTGTTTCCATTCTTTACTCTTACAAATAATGCTATAATGAAGCTTTGTGGTCTTCTTGGGTACACGTCTGAAAGTTTGTCGGGGGCTGCAGAGGACGCACATCTTCACCTTGCCAAACTGCTCTCCAACGTGGTGGCACCAATTTACACTTTTTCCAGCCGGTATGCAAGTTCTCTTTGTTCCACATCCTCTCAAACACTTGGTATAATGAATTTTTTATACATTTTTGCCAATCTGATGGGTATGAAAAAAAACTCAATAGTTTTTATCCTACATGTCCTGTAAGGATAATCATATTTATTGACTATTTGGACCATTTTTTTCTTCTTCCACATTTCACATTGCCCTTTGGTTCTATCACCACCTTTCTGTGGTGATGACTAGAAACTCTATATCCAGGCTGCCTGGGTTCAAACTCTGGCTTCATCACAACCACCTAGTGTCCGAGGACAGTATGCTGACCCCCCAGGCCTCTCACTTACAAAGACAGCAGCACCCACCTCTCATGGGGTGTAAGGATTTTGTGAGTTAACAGTATGTCAAGTGTTCAGAACAGTGCCAGAGGGGGGATGCTTCACCCCATCTGTCCCCAGAGCTGCTCAGCCAGATTCCCATGATAGATCTACCAACCTCCACATGTGAGAGCTTCAGAATATCCCAAACTTAGTAACTCAGCTAAAGGATATGTCCCCTCCTATGTCAATGGCACTCCTGGCAACATGTTCTTTTCTGAAGTCGCATCTACTCTCTTGATCTACTCTCATGTACTATGGACTCAGAAAACATCATGCCTACATTACTGAGCCAGTCATATAAACAATGTGCAAGAAGGTGGGAAACACAAGCAAAACCAGTGTGGCATAAGGACTCTGACATTAAAGAGACATCCAGTACACACTGGTGATCGGCTAGGAAGAAAGTGCTGCTAACCCGCTTCCAGTGAAAACCTCAATGGTGCTGAACCACAAAAGTTGAACTGTCAGGAAGGAGGCACAACGACGGATGCACTACCCTGCTCTTGACCTTGACCTCACCAGGCTACCTGCCTCCTGTATTTGTATTTGATGCACCTCCTTTGCAGCGGAGCTTTAGGAGAACCCTACTTGAGTACCTGGCATTCAACTCATGAAAGAGGGCAGAAACACCCAGCCTACCGCTCATCAGCTCTCTGAGGTCCCCTATGCAAAGTGAATGACCTCCCGCCCACTCAAAGTTTTAGATGAGGCACCTTGATTTTCACAAGAGGTAGCCAAGCTGCTAATCTATTCATGTTGAAAGTATACAGATTCACCTTCAAATAGCATAGGATATCTGCAATTCTGGACCTGGCCAGAGGCAATAACCTAAAGACATTTCCAGCTCATTCCTTGTAAGAACAGTTGAGAACAGTGATATTGATGGAAGACTGTGTCAAGCCCATCCATTCCTCTAGTCTAGATAGCCTCGGCTTATCCACGGCTTAAGCCATCTAACAGCTGCATAACGTAATACAGCGATATTCTCCAAGGTGGTTGGATTACTGGTGATTTTTATTTTCTTCTTTTTAAACTCTTGTATTTTCCAAATTTTCTACCATGAGAATGTTTTCTGTTTATGATAAAAGAAAAACATAATAAATGTTATTTTTAAAGCTACAAACTTGGAATATATGTCTTCCCCACTCCCACCCTCCCACCTCCCAACATCAGCGCTTTCACCAAAAAAACTGACATTGACTCTGCTTTCATGAGAAAACGTCACAGAAACTGTGGAACCCCAAACAGCACTTTCGGGGAGTTTTTCCAATGAACAGGACATTGCTGAGGTTCTTCTTTACTCCATCACTCAACTCGTATCACTTGTAAGCCACATAAGAAGTTTCTCCCAGAACTAACACCAGAAAAAAGCCATTTCCCCCAAGCAACCCCTGTCCTCATTCCTCATGGACAGGGAGAATTATGTAACTTGTCAAATTTTCTCTTTACAGGAAATATGGATTATAATTAATAACTAAGCAGGACTTCATGCCTATGCTGCTCTATTATGAGGATCCCAGGCTCTAACCTGGTCTTTTAGTTTGTTTTGTTTTTAATATTCTTCTACTGAGTGGCTGTATTCTTGAAGCCACCCGAAACCCTTACAGTTAAAGCAGGACATGATTAAATAGAAGAGCCTACCCTACTCAATATTAGTGCTTATAATTTATGTCCTTAGGTTTTTAAACTGAGGGACAACAAGATCATGATGTAGTGTCAACAATCTTTCTCAATTAATAAAAACTAAGTTCAACATTAGGAACTAAGAATTCATTATGATTTCCCTCACTCTCATAGTTGAAACCATTAAATTTCTTTTCCTTTTCACTTATGAAAGATATTTACTTAATTATTCCATACCAGGGTAGAGGAAATAAACAACAAAAATTCTTCTTCCAGAACTATATAAATAAAGCAAAAGAAGGTAATTTATCAAAAGTGTTATAAACAAAGACTCTGACATCATCAGATAAGATCTGTGTTCAAATCTTGGCATCACTACTTACTAGCGGCAGTCTGTTCAAATGTAAATGTGGAGCATAACATTACCTTACCTCTTAAGGGCATTGTGAGAATTAAATAATGTATGTAAAGTACTTAAAATAACACATAACATGTTATCCACTCAATCAGAATAGTTACTGCTGAAACTGTTATTATATATATATAGTTTACAGAAAGCCCTCTTTTAACAAGTGAACTATTTCTGCCAAAGAACTATTGAAGGATTTTCTTGCATACCTGCAAAACAGAAGTACTTCTCAAATACGGGTGTTTAGTATAATAGTTCAGTGATTGCGGTACTCTAACCAACTTACCTGAACTGTCCAGTGCGAAGAAAACAAAGAGCTCGGTTACCATAGAGAAGGTGATTTTCAGGACTTTAAAAGAAATAATGTTTAGTCAGTAAAGCTAATTACATATGAAACACAAAAATCACACAGAAAACGTAAGGCATGAAAATTTTTTCAAAAACTTTACATCTGTGTGGCAGAGCAGAAAGAATACAGGATCTGAAGTCCCAACTGGCTAACTGGTTCCTTCACTTCCTCCCTGAGTAGCCATTTAAATGATCCCCAACTTCCCTGAATTTGAAATAAAGATTTCTACTTCTCTGCTTAGTTCATAGAGCTGTTGTGAAGATCAAATGAGACATATTAAAAAGCTAGAGCTACAGGTAATGCTGGAATTGCAGAGGACAGAATTATACATGTAAGTCAGGACTCTACCACGCTGACAAAGAGCTCAAAGGAGTCTGTATAACGCTAATTTAATAGCTTCACTTCAAATTCTGCCCTTTAGTCTTATCTGGCTACGCATGTTGGAACTTACTTCCTTTTCCCTCTACCTCCTCAGAAGAACTGAGCAGCCCTGATTCACTCGTTCCCTGTGGAGACTGGCAAGGCAGGAAAGAAAGGAGCTGTCTACAGCACATCCTCCCAAGGCTGCCACAATATTAGATGGAGCAGCTAAGATGTCACAGGAGCCAGGGAGGCACACTTGCAGAAATGCTACCAAATTCTAGCAGCTGAGCAAATGGAAGACAAGGTGGGGAACACGTGCATTGTCTCAACAATTCCAACCATTATCCTTTAAAAGTTCCCTTAGAAAACAAAAATCCATGAATGGGTGATATCATAATTACTAGTAACTAACCCTTTCTGATCAGTTAATAATTTGGAAGAAATCAGCTGAAGGCGAAATGAAAGCAAGCAAGAACATATGAGTCTGTATAGACAGCTTGAAAGAAAACAGAGGCAGGCAGAACTGAATTCACAATTTTGCCTGACTTGAGTTATACTATTGGATTAAGTTCATATACTCAGACTATCTCTAATGCTTCTAATGCCTATGAGGAGAAACTACTCTGCATAGTAAGTTGAAGATATTCTCCAAATCCTCATCTTTTATTTCCCCTCACTAGCATTCGAATTTGATCTGTCACATAAAATGGATTTCATTGTTCTGTTTAGCTCTTACCTATATTCAATGGCTCTGCTGTAGTAGATAATAGCTACATCAAATCTTTCTTTGGAAAACTCTTCATTTCCTCTCATTTTCATTAGTTCTCCTTGCTGAGAAACCAAGGTGAAAGAAGACTTATCAATTAACTGCAAAGACAATCAAGAACACCCATACGTAGGAAAAATGGGACCTGGGTTTCTGTCTTTGCTATCAGAAATAACCCTGAGGGGTTATTTATGTAGAAAATGAAAATGCAAAACTCAATATTTTGGTATGTATATTTAAAGAAATCTGTCTCAAATGACTGAATGCTAACTTTGTTAAAAGAATATGAAAAAGTAAACAAAATCATCACATTATAGGTATCTTTAACAGTCGATCTGCTTGTGCACAGTACTTAGCAGGTCCACGTTTATATATACTTAGTAAGCCTGCCATATGGCAGGGTAAAAACAGATGCAAGGTAGACCTTTAATTTTAGGTTAGAAAGTGTGATATTGTTCAATAAACCTGGGTGCTTACAAAGCAATATATAAACCAATAACACATACAGGCAATGTTGATTAGATTAACTGCCAGAAAAAGAGGCAACAGAGTTAGGAAGAATGAAATCAAATGGAAATCAAAGATGCTCCAGATAGAACTAAAACTGACTTCAAACACTCAAATTTTCAAAATAAATTAACTAAAATAAACTGGATCACATCAATGGCTTTAGTTAGCAAATTAAATAGAACATTAAATATTCTTCTAAGTGCTATTTTAAAAACTTAGCTAAAATCGTCTTTCTTATGAGTGAACTGTATGGTATGTGAATTACATCTCAATAATGCTGTTACCAAAGAAAATCTAATTAAGAGCCTTTTAATTTTAAAAAAATCAAATTTTAATTTTTGATTAACTCTTTTAAAGTCTACATTAGAAAATTCTCAAGATGTTTTCCTCTTCCAAAAAATAAATATTCCAATAAAAATTTATTAAAATTTCCCTCAAACATGTTATTGAATTTTATAGTAGCTCCTTATATATTGTCAGATAGCAGTTTTATTGAACTTTCTCTGAGCGTTAATAAAAGTTCTAACAAGCAAATCTTAAAATATACTTACAAGTAAATATTTTTTCTCACCTCTATACACTCCGCACAATTTTGCCTTTTAAATTCTTCAAGCATATTGCAGTTTTCTGTTACAACTTTTGTTATGTGATACTTGTCTGTATTTTATTTTTAGGAGAAAGTGAGAGAACATTTGTTTTAAAAAAAATGGCATTGTTAATGTTCTAATTCTTAGGTTATGTGAGTCCATGAAGTTCATTATGTTATTATACTTTCTAAATAACATGTTTCTTGTAATATTTTACATGTATCAAATAATATATTTAAAAATAACTCATAACATTAGATTCATTAATGCTATGAATCTAATCAATCTGATTTCTAGCATTAAGAAAACACTTTATTATTACATTAGTTCTAATTGTAGCTACAACAAATGCTCTATTGTAACATATTCCAAATGGGCTTCATAATTATTTAAGTCAATTCAACAAATAATATCTGAGCATCTATGCTGTACCTGGTACAATGTTCAACAAAAATGTCTGAAAATATCTTGTAAAATCACTTTCTAAGAAGTATTTAATATGGCAAAAGGAAAAATTTTAAGTCTTAATTCAACATCTGACTCTCCTGAATGAAATGTTAAAATGAGACTTTACTTGAAAGACTATTCTTATATAAATTTAATAAACTAATTAAAATGCTATAGGTAGTAACCAAAATTTACATTAAAAGTTTGCCAGACCTCATTTTTTGTATTTTAAACTGTTCTAAAGTAAGATTTTTCTAAAGGGGTAAATAATAATAATTTTATCGCAACAAAACTGTAGTTAGTTACACCTCTAGATAAACACAATCATTTCAATGGCAAAAGGAGTACCTAAAACTTAAGATTCAAGAAAGGATTTGGGTAAGTCACCAAATGAAGTAAAGTAACACTAAGAAACAGAGCAAGACTGAAGGATGAAACCTGGGCTTTAAGATCAGAGACCTGACTTCTCATCTAGGTTCCACTACTTACTAGACTGCAGAAATATCACTTAACCTCTCGAAGTCTTAGTTGGCTCATTTCTAAAGTAGGGATAACCACAGCCACCTTGCAGAGATATTATAAAGAAGAAAGAACAGAGACAGAGAGTCAAAAGTGAGCCCACATGGGTGCCCAATACATGATACTGGTCCTCTACTTCTATCCTAAAATCTAGACTATAATTGAAGGCCTCAATAACAGAGAGGCCCACTTGAATACAGCCCAATGTCTACTAAACCTATCAGAAGAACCTGTCTTCATGTTTAAGCTTAATTTTCTCCAATATTTAGATCAATAATACAAAATCTGCCCTCTTCTCACTGGAGATGGCAAATTCTTATCATTATCTACTGAAGAGCCAAATAATTCCTGTTCCAAGATTCCTATAACTGGACTATAAAAACACTGCTAACATTCAAATGCTTTAGAGAAAAGTATTTCACTAAGTAAAAAAAATATATATAAGGCAGTTTCATCATACATAAGAATAAGATTCATCAGGGAAATAAAAATTATAATATTAGCTCTATCACTTATTTCTCTTACTAGTGAGAATATATGAGCCCTAGCTGTGGTCTCTTTCTTTGGATATTATATATAATAACTTATGATATCTATCTGGCAAAACATTTAAAACATGTCATAGAAATCATTAAGACAGGAAATACAGAATAAAACTAAGTACAAGGTTAAAATTCTCTTATGCAGGCTTTTCTCTTACTCAGAGAAAAACATTTTCTAAAATCCTAAGATAAATAAGAAATCACAACTATACATTCCATGTTCCCAAATAATACCTTTAAAAACTGAGTTAAAGTAACAATTTAAAGCATTTATACTTACATTCAGTAAAGAAAATACTTAACATAGGCCAACAATTGTCAACTGCTCCTAATTTAGGTAGAATTGTTACATCGCCTGTGTATTTCACCCAATTCAAAGCTTCTTCCATTACCAATATTTTCTGTTTCAAAAAGAGGGATGTAGAATGTGATTTCTATATTAATTCTAAATTTGCATGTGGCATTATAAATTTATCTTATATAGTATTTCAGATTCTTAATATGAAACTTGTAACCTCATAGTTTCATTACTCTAACACAGAACCTAGACTAGCTGGACCCATGTATGTTACATCTTCAGGCAACCTTGGGCTACCCTCAGATCTCAAGATGCTTCTGCAATGATTACAGACCTGACAGTTGAGGTCTACAACCCACCTAGAGGCAGCCCAGGGTAGCAGAAGAGTGCAATAATACAAGATGAACATCAGGTCTGAGATCTCATCTATACTAGGACTTCCATCCTTACCTCAAAGTTAAAGGTATAGATTAGGTTCACTAAAGGGATTATGTATTTAAATGGTCTGGCAAACAGAAGAATAGGAGATAAATGAGAGGAGGATGTGGCTGGGCAAATGAGCACTCAGTGCAATGATCTTCACAGAACCATTATTTGTACTTCTAGGGTCTGAAATGACTTCAGAAATTAAATAGTGGTGTTATTGATGCTGATGTTAGGCTAAGGGGAACATGTAGAAGTTTATGTTACCAACACCATTAAAAACTGGTATATCATTGTATGTGAAGATTATCTAGTAATTATAGAGCAAAACATGTTCATACCAGGGACCTAATAATTTCATTTGGGAGAACATATGCCAGGTAAATCATCTAAAAGAGAAAAAAGAATCAAAAAGAATGTAAAAGAGGCTCAAAATGATACTAGGTATAGGGGGAAATAATGAAAATTATGTAAACTCCTAAAATAAGCAGAGAGCTTAAGCAAAATATAGAAATCAATACTACCAAACACTCCACACAAAACACGCACTACGTGGACCCAGACATGGGCAAGGAGCAGTGAGGCAACAGCCATTTACTCACAGTGGTTGTGCTGGATTCCTATGTTTAACACTTACATTTTCTATTTTATAACCAATCTTCAGTAAACCCCCAATAAAGAATGAGTCATTCTGGAGGAAAAAAAAAAGTACAAAACAGTTTTTTACCTTATTCAGTCAATTATACTTGAAGTTTTCAATACACAACAAAACCCTACATTTTAAGAACACATATATACATAGTAGTCCACATCCCACAAGCACTTTCATGCTCAGTTTACCTCTCAAGGACCCTAAAACAAGAATTCAGAAATAGTCTTACATTGGGTTCTAATGATAAAATGGTTCAGCGTCACTTCTAGATGTATGAATTTTAAAGTTAATTATACCTAGATTTTTCATAAAAATACACTGGCTGATATAAGTCACTACGAAGGATGATCAGCAGGAAATCAACATCAAATGCCCTTTCTAAATTTAAGTTTACAATCAGAGTAATAACCAAAAAAACCACTTGGCTCCATAATCAATTGAAATACAAAAAATTATCAAGTGACTCTAAATGAAAAAAACCCTCAGTGCAATACAAGGACACCTCCTCAATATGACATGTTAAGGTTACCCCAAGGAAAAAATATTTGTTGTGTTAGTGGTGGCAGTGGCGTGATTTTATGTTACAAGGCAGAATCCCTCACTTTCAGAACCTGGGACAAAGGTTTCTGTGAACCAGGAGCACACTTTCAGTTGAGACAAATTCCAATTTCTATCCTTTAATGACAGTGAGCAGGTCTGGTTCTTAACATGTCATTTTAGAACCATGAAAAGAGTCATCTACCTGATCTGCCAAATACATAGCACAAACTCATGGATAGCAGAATAATCTCAGGTTAACCAAAACTAAACCTGTTAACCATTATAAATTAGTAACATAAGCCTGACACAATATAAATACTTATATCCTTTAAATAGAAGAGGAAAAAGCCATGCTCTACCACTTACCGCAACTTTCTTTGCCAAATCCACAATATCTTCCATCAACTCAAGATATTGTAATTTCTTCAAACTTATCTCAGAAGCATGAGAACTACTTAAAGACAAATTTATTTTTTAAAAGATTAGGTTCTCATATATAAAAATTCATTAAACTTTACACTTAACTGCATGTTACACCTCTAAGTACTCTGGTTTCTTTGTTCTAGGTAACAATAAGTTGGTTAGTAAGTGGATAAAATACTATCCCTTTTCCTTTCTTGTATACAATGCTGATATTTATAAACAAGCATATTAACTTTTCTTACTCAGTTTCAAATTTAACATTTAATGCTCTTCAGAATTTCATTCATTACATGTAATGGTACCATGACTATTCATTCACGTCCAAATCCCAAGTATTAACTTTCCCCACTCTATAAACAAGAGTAAAGTTGAAGAGTATACATGCATAAGACATAGCCTTCCATTGTACTTGGCGCTCCTCAGTACTGGGTGACATGCGTACCATGTTTATACAAAATGACTAATGCAGTAACTTACGCAGCCTCCACACAGGGATACAACCGTGATATTACAGAACTGTGCTGATGTTGAAACAGAAGTGGCCAGAAGATGTGTATTTTGATGGCATCACAGTAATCTCGCAGGACAGAAATTGGTTTACTACACCACATACTGCAGATGTCGAATTCTTAATTTAAAAAAAAGTAAATTAATATTGTGTGCCTCATTTTGGAATCAATCAACAGTGTTAAAAGGGAAAAAGCAAAAAATGGTTATGGAAAAGTAAGAAATGAATGGATAAAATATTGCAACCTGTTAGATATTAAGAATATTTAAGTGTCAGCTAAAACTCTATTTTAAAAAAAGAAAGGTTTTAGTTTCTAGACAAAAAGAATGGCAAGAATAAATTTTTAAGAGCTATGTAAGCCTGTTATATTGATGTGAAAGGATGAACTTCCCTTGATAGTCTTTCAACCAATTAAAGTTAAAATACTAGTGTACTCACCTAAGTTTCTCTCACTTTTGGCATAATCTTTATACTGCCTACCCTAAAAAAACACAACAGAAAACAAACACTTTTGATTTGTGTCTGATAAGATGCAAAAGTACAGTTCTTGATTTTTAATATTAGGATTATTAATACTAAACTAAAAAATTTCAGTGCACATTTATTTATACACTTTGAATACAGCATCTTCAACCAAAATGTCTCGGCCTTTTTCCCAGTTTCCCTGAGAGCTTTTTTTTAAAATATATCTTTATTGATTTCAGAGACAGGAAAGGAGAGAGACAGAGAGATAGAAACATCAATGATGAGTCATTGATCGGCTGCTTCCTGCACGCCCCCGACTGGGCATGGGCCCTAATCAGGAATCGAACCCAGCTCACCTGGATTCTAGGTGGACGCTCAACCGCTGAGCCACACCTGGCAGGGCCCCTGAGAGCTTTTCTAATCTCAGGCAGAAACACACTTTCATCACTTTCTCTGGCACTACACATTCTTGCTGTTTAGGCACTGCTTTACTTTCCCTTCAGAAATCACCTCTTCAAAAGCATGTATAACTCCCTGTAAAAACTCAGCACAAAAATACCTATATTCAGACAGTTCTAAATAAAAAATCTTGTAAGAGGTAAATCTCAAAAATTCTCATCACAAGAAACAAACAATTGTAACGCCCTGACTGGAGTTGCTCAGTGGTTAGCGCATCAGCCCGTGCACTGAAGAGTCTCAGGTTCAATTCCCAGTCAAGGGCACATGCCCAGGTTGTGGGCCCGAATCCCAGCAGGGGGCATGCAGGAGGCAGCCGATCAATGACAACTCTCTCATCGTTGTTTCTCTCTCTCTCCCTGAAATCAATAAAGATATATTTAACAACAAAAAAAAGACTTTCCTATTACCATCTTAAAAAAATAAAATAAAAATAAATAAAAACCTTTAAGAAGACACAATGTTAAAAACAAAAAGATAACTAATCTACTTACCACCCCATCACAGTAAAGTTGAGTCACACGAACATAATCATTAGACATAAATTCGGGAGCAAAGACACAATCGTCCACATAAGGGCCATCTTCTAAGCAGGCATAATCTGCTACAGTGCAATCTTCCAGGGCAAAATCGTCCATGGTGCACCATCCTAAGGAAAAACACAAACCCAAATCAGTGATTAAATCACGTGAGATCTGAGAAGCAGTTTTCCTGGCTTCTATGATATTTTAGAAAAACACTTGGAACTTATGTCCCAAGGGAACTACTCCAAAAGAACACTAAACTCTCTGGAAGATTCTTGTTCTCATTCTGCAATTCTCTCCCCCTGAGCCTCTTCAAATATCAGTTTAATCTATTTCCTCTTTTCCTCAAATTCAGAGTCACCGATCTCTACTCTGAATTGATTTGTTTACATGTCTCCTTTAGATGGAGGAAAATTAAGGGCATCTTACTCATCTTTGTATGTGCCTAGCACCTGGTAAGTCCCTCAAATAAGTGTTTGCTGAGTGAACAAGACATCTTTCCACTGCTGTCCTTTTATGCCATCTGCTTTTACTGTATCCTGTGAAACACATTCTTTCACAACACACAAACTGCTACATTCTCAACCTCCTGCCAGAACTAAATCCTGACTCCACTGAGAAAACAGTTTCCTATCAGCTGCTCATATTCTCCTATCCATCCCTCAGTGTCAGTGTGTTTATGTCTCAGGCAAAGGGGCACAGCCAAAGTGGCACAGGGTGAGTCTGTCGATCTCTTAATTCCCCACAGCCGCATCTGACCTTCCCTCTCCTTCCTTACAGTCACTGCTCCAACACTCTCACAACTACAACAGCTAGATTGCAAGGTAGGCAAAAACCTTCTCATTAACAACAATCACATTTTAAAAATAATTATTTCAATGGGGAAAAAAGAGACTTAGGGCTAGAGTTTCAAACTAAGGTTTTTTTCTCTGAGGAAAGTTCAATAATAAAGATTTATAGCTTTCAAAGAAAAGTTACACAACCTACCCACCTCCGAAAAATGCAGCATTTTATTACTTCTGACTCTTGCCCAAATAACGGCTTTCTTTTCCTATCATCATCAACACCATCACCACCATTTTTTTTTTACACCTTTTTGCTTCACTACTATTTTCTCACTATTGTTAGGACAAACCAACTTTGTTTTCCTAAGCGAGACCACTATTATGTCTTGAAACACAAATCTGTTTCTTTAATTAACCCTTCTCATTAGGTCCAATTTGCTGTATGAAAACCTCAAAGAATCAGAAGCAAAGAACAATCTTCCTAACAAACTCTCTGTACTGTCTGTCACATGTTCCAAGGGTTTCACATGCATCCCCTCAACTCTCACAGCAAGTCTTCTCAGGTTCAATTACCATCACCTGCACTGTACAATGGGAAACATTCTGGGTAAAATTAAGTAATTTGCTCAAGGTCACCAAGCTAGGAAGGATTCAATCCTTGCTTCTCTGATTCCAGTCTCCCCTCTCAAACACTACATTTTACTATAGCTACTTTTTCTTGTCATTGCCGGCTAGTTACCTCCTGGTTGTTGTCATGCTTAAGAACACTGACTAGTTCAGACTGTTCCCCTCTCCTCCAAATTCTATCATCATCCCAGACACACAGAGGCCGATAAAGATGACCCCTTCAAGACCCTGGCCTTGCAGTTTAACTACCTCCTTCACTGCCCACACTTCACCTAGGCTCTTCCTTCCCAAGGCTATACGCCAGATCACTGCCCAGGTCTGACTGGTTTTTAAATCTAACTCTGATTAGCTCCTCTGACCACAACTAAGTCATTCTAGCTCTAGTCTCTCCTACCTCCTACCCAGACATTCTGCAGCCTCATCAAGGGCTCACCTTCCCATCTCTCCCATTCAAATCCTCCATTCTCATTTACTTTGTTTCTACAATTGGGTTTCCACTTTTAATAAGGTCATTAGTGACCTTCTACAACAGATTGATTAAATACAATGTCTGCAGCCTGACCTGTTCTAGATCATCAATATTTCCAGAGTTTAGAATTTAACTCCAAAAGTGGAAAATTACTGGAAAAAATAAAAAGACATTTTAGCACCCAAAGTATGGCATATAATATGGAATCTATGCTATCCTTGGAAATACATACACTTTTAAACTTGTTTGTCTTACAAATTTTTTTTGTATGTAAACACAGAGAAAGCCAAGAACCGTCTGTCACAGCCCACACATCGCCATGATGGCATAGAATGTGATACAATTAATGGGCTCACTTCTGGCAGACTGAGCCACCGTGACATAACAGCCTGGCAGATCTCACTAATACCACACCCTATACCAACTATGCTGTAATTAGAAGACTGGTAAAATTTTTATTTTCTATTTTGTTTTAACCAGAGAGGCAATGTGGCATAGTGGTTACGAGCAGGGACTCTGGAATCAGACTGCTCGGGCTTGAATCCTGGCTCTCCCACTTCCTGAGTGTGTGATCTTGGGCAAGTTACTTAACCTCTCCTCTGTTCTTCAATTTCCTCAAGTATCAAATGAAGATAGCAGTACTACCTGACTAATCAGTTAACACATTTAAAGTGCTTAGAATAGTACATGGCATATAGGAACTGCTATAAATATCAACTATCATTAAAATTACTATTAGATGAGTATTTTTAAAATCCATTGTTTGGATGCTTCCAGCTAAATAATCTACCTTAATTGCTAAGTGCAAAGAGCACTTTTCAGCTTACAACTTACTTGACGCTGATGAACACTTCCTCTTTTTCAGAACTCTTCATCTGGACTCCAGAGACCATCTTCTGGTTCTCCTCCTATTCTTCTGGCTGCGCTTCCTCAGTTGCCATGGGCTCTTCGTCTCCATTCCCCGCCACCCAAATGTCAACTCTCTTTTCTTTTCACACTCACTCTCTCCTTGGGTGATCTTATCCACCATACCCATGGCTTAAAACAGTACTTTCTGAACTTCCATCATTTGCATAGCTTCACCATGATTTTTGCCATTTCCACATTATCACATGTATTTTTATTTACTTGGTATTTTTTTTATTGGTCTCACTCGGCCTAAGTGATAATCCATGATGTCATAGGTTTGATGTACAATGTATGCTTTTCATACACATCAAATTCCTAACTATTCAAAAAAGTGTTTATAAACCACTGTTTATACTATACTCTAGCACATGATGGCTGAAATGTCCAAATACTCAAGACTCTCGAAGCTCTCCACACTGGGTTGCATCTCATGACTTCTAGACCCTCTCAACTGCTACTGGATTTAGCCAACATGTCCCACAAGCCTCTCAGATTCAGTAAGTTCAAAAACAAAAATCTTTTTCCTCAAAAAAAAAAAAAAAAAAAAAAAATTTTTTTTTTTTTTTT